CAATATATTTCGTTTCCTAACAATTTTAATGTGTTCAAAATAATGCATTAGTGTCTCCAAATTCTTTAACCCTCTTAGTTCCGATCAAAAGAGTCGTGCGTACCTGAACGAAGTATACCAAACCTGTTTGATGTAGTTTGATCAAGTTTCGCAAAGAAATTATAAAAATCTTGTGAACCCTGATAATTAGAAAATTCAGAAAGGGGGGGGGGGAGACGAAATAACCTATAAAATTATTAAGAAAACATTTCATTAAGAGAACATTTCATATATCATTGTTCGGCACTAAAGGGGTTAGGCGTTTTCACTCTTATTAATTTTCTGTACTTATTTCTGCCATAAATGCATAAAACCTTCAGTCTATTTACGAACGCCACATGATATGTTAGACAATAAAAAATCTTCAACAGTTGTCATGTTTCACTTAAACGTACAATTAGTATTATGTTTACATGGAATCCGAATGTAAGTAGAAAATAATATTTGTCCGTCATTTATTACAAAATTTTCCCACTTCCACAATCTTTGTACCCACAAACTTTCTATTTGTCGTACGAAGCGCTGTTTTCATCACGTTGGATGATGCTTCAACTATTTCTTTTGTTCAGATCACTAGCAGTTGGTTCTGAAATATTTCTCGATATTCTTATATTTCAATCACCATCGATGACAGTAAGCATTATACGGTTCTATAATAACCGATAAATTTGATAAATACAATATTTTTAGTTAACAGTGTATACGTAGTATATATTTATAACATGCTATAAAATGGTACATTTTAATCTCGAATTTCGAACATGTGCTCGAAATACTTCTAGGAAATTAAAGTCAATTAATCTAAAATTAGAAAATCGCAACGCTTGACAAGGTAAACGTGAATTAATTATGTTTCCTTGTGTAATGCAATTTTCCGTGCGGACATAAGACCGGACGCTGTTTCAACATTATGAACACGACTGTTCGCTATTAATTACTAGATGGCGGTGATTTCTGTAAATGTCGGTCTAACTTCTAAAGTCTGATATCCAATTGAAACTCTTTTAGAAACTCGAGCAAGATGTAATATATTCTAAACTGTAACAAACACTTTACGTCATCGCGCATGAAAAAAAAGTCCTACGCGATTATCCGCGATCCAAAAATCTCGGTTAACTAAAAGTCGCTCATGCGAGTTGCATTCGAAAACGAAAATGTTTCGATCGGTCATGCGATTCGTTCTCCGACATACAAATGCTGCACGGTTAAGCGGTCCCCGCGTTAACGTTTCCACCGGTAACGTTCGACTTGGATCCTTCATTTCGCCGGCGCCATTACATTTGCATCATTAATTCCCAAGTTCAGCGTAATTAGTGAATTATATATTACACAGTTCTGCCTACCGTTACTCCACTAAACCTTGCATTTTCTTCCAGTTCCTCCGCGCTTTTTCCATAACTGTATACCCGCGTTGGCGCGTCTTGTGTGAAGCAAACCGAAAGATAATGAGGCGTGCGCGTTGCATGAGACGAATCAATTAATCAAAATTGCGATAAATACAGGCATACTACCATCCACAATACAAACGTCAACCGAATTACCAAATCAAATGATACTTTCTATAACGCGTGAACCCGCTGGAAGTGTAAATAAATAATCACCGTTGCCGCGGACATGTTTATTCACCTACTTCGTCGCATTAGTCGCTGTAAACACGAAATTGTTACTCGAACGCGATTCGACTTTCTAATACCATGATTTATTGATGAAATGCAGCTTGCCAACCGCGCGGTACTTATTAAATTCTCATTTCTTCGCCGATTCCTCGACGCGAACCGTGTGCTCGGCGGGTTCTGAACATTTTCTGGCCAACCCGTTCCGCAATTTGGCGCGCCGACACGATCGCTTCAGCATCCGATTCTTCTCGAAGAGATTCCTAGATGATACCCTGCTATTCGCCGCGCCTACTCTTTCTCTCGTTATTGTAAAACAGCGAACGCATGGCGGAGGAAGTGTGGAACGGTGCGTCCGATAAGCAAGATAGCATTCCACCTGTTCAGTGACATACTCGAACACGTGAAAGTTTAACGACGCGTGATAAGTACTTACTACGTTGCTTTACTACTAACTTGAAAAGATAATAGACAACGTGGCCCTGTCGCCCGTGAAAGAGATAATCGCATCGTTTCTAAAACTGCACTCCTGCTTCCGTCATTTCACTGCGGCGACGGAGATTCTTATCGCGTTGTTAGAGATCAACGGAATCAGACGATCCGTTTCAACTGTTTCAATTCAAATACACGCAAATACTTGTAGGAATTTATTTATTAGGAAACAGAAACGACGTGTAGTTAAAAAGACGACTGCAATGATTGGCCAGAAAGTTCGCGCGTTTTTTAACATATAAATTTAAAGCTTGTTTTCGTACAAGATGGAATTTGACTGGTATCGAGAGCAGAATACGGACGTAAAAAGTAGTTTTCTTCGAGGTCGCTTCCTTCGAAGTTTTCAAGGTCGTCGATGTTGATTTGCATATAAATGCGTCTTTCTTTTATTGCAACAATAAATTCATGTCTGGATACAACGAGTTTCTTAGTTCCATATAATTTGGTTTTGCTGTAATGACTTTCTACAAATAATGTATTTTATAAACAGTGTTCAG